TTTCCAGTCTCTTTTCCATTCCTTCTACCCCTCGCTTGCAGCAGGTCGCTGGCTTTCTCACCATGCTTGGCCTTCAGGGCGGACACCGCCGATGAGCAGTCCTCAGGAGCAAGCTCAGTGCTCTCCCTGAAAGGGGGGGGGTGGGGCGGGTTAGGGTTTAAGGGTTTCGGGGNNTAGGGTTTTGGGGTTTCGGGTCTAGGGGTTTCGGGTTTGGGGGCTTAGGGTCTAGGTTCAGAAGGGTGATGGAAAGCGTGATCTGAGTGCCCTGGCATGTGAGCTAATTACAATCCAAACTCCGAGTATCACCCTTATTAACCCCCATAATACTCCCCTACACAACCCCCTATATAACGGCCCTTTATGGAGTCTATACTATAGCACATGGGTTCTTTGAGGCTGAAGGAACAGCTGTGCAGGCTCTGCCCTTCATCGCCCGAGTCCTTCACGTCGCAAATGACGACCTGAGACCAGTTCTGAATGAATTGAATCATAACCCAAGGCGTCTATCTAGCTATATTGTATATACTTTGCCCCTAAAGTAGGTATATGGGAAGCCGTTCGGGCAAGGAGTACATGCCGTATACCTACATGGACCAAAGTCTAAACTCCTAGTATCCCCCTCATGAACCCCTATAGGAGTTTAGACTCTGAAGCCTAAACCCTAAACCCTGTATAATACCCCATATGAACCCTCTTGAGGAGTTTAGACTATATAAGCTTAAGTGGACCCTTTGGGTAAGCAGCCGCGGGATGACGTAACTACACCCAATTGCACAGCTCATCCTGCTCTATCATGACAAATATGGCGCTATAGTCTAAACTCCTTCAGAGGGATCTAACCATCTATCTATATATATATATATATATGGGGTTTAGGGCTTGGGGTTTGGGGTCTAAACTCTTTAGTGGCAGGTAACATAGGGGATTATATAGCGGAGGACAGCCAATATGTCCACGGGAAATCACTGAACATGGGTCCCTTAAGGAGGACTATATAAGGGACCATACTAAACTACAAGAGGGACCCCTACGTCCGCTGCTAAGGGGGTAAGGCTAATATTGACAGTAGCTCATGTGACACTTGAGGATGGTGCAGAACCTTCAGTATGCGACTTCACTTCACGTCGTTTAGTAGGGAGTGGGGAATGAATCCCTATCGGAGTCACAACAACAGTCCGACATATTCCATTTGTTCACATACAAATTTCAGCTATAGCAGAAAAGACCATAACACTAAGAATAATAGCCATGCTACCTACCAACCACTAGTAAGGTCAGTACGGCTTCGCATCATCACCTGACTGAGCACACGGAACCCTAAACCTTAAACCCTAAACACCTGGGTTGGCACCTAAAACCCTTTGACAAATATAGGGTCCCTCATTAAAGCCATTAGGGATAATATCAAATATCCTAGGGGCCTACCGGCCTGCCCAGACACTCTAAACCCTAAACACCCCAAACCCTAAACCCTAAACGGCCTGATGCCCTCGGGCCAGGAATTCATCCGCATACGCATAGCCAACACCAGCGGCTCCGCCTCCGGAACGGGCCCAAGGTGTCTACCAGTAGCCTCCTTGTACCCTATCATGGGTATTTAGCAAATAATCGGGTTTCCTTACTACAGTTACCTATACATGGGGGTATATGGTGCCTATTCAGGGTATATAGAGGGTGGAGGGAGGCTCCTGGTACATGGCACAAGGCGATAGTAGGAGTTTAGGAAATATGTCTTACGTAGATGGGTGCGCCTGTGATGACCACGCCGGCACACACCGGCGTTCCGTGCATAGCAACAGCAGCCACCTCAACAAGCACTAGAATCACTAGAATTTTGCAGGTGGCAAATAGGGATATAGTGTGACACTGGGGGCTCTAACGGAAGGGAAAATGGACACCGGGTCAATTTCTCGGTGTTTCGGGCCTGATCACCATAATATGGCTTTGGAGAGTTATGATACGATGTACACATCGATATTGTTGTAAGGAAATACCATCGGCAACCGATGAGACTTCTACATAAGTCTACTGGCATACTTGTCACGATTGCTAGAAAACGTGTTGTCGTCAGTCATGCCGGAGCTGTTCTTGTGGACTGCTTGTATTCCACATATCGTGGCAACTTCTTGTTCATTCGATTTTCCACTTTCTTACTCATTCAGCCCCCTAAACCGCCAAAGCATAGACCCTACACATCCCTGTACCCCTACATAATCCCTAGATACCCATACCTGAAACCCCACTGCAGCCCACTAAACGCCTTCTGAGATCCCTGCATATACCACTTCAAGATTCTAGTTCGGCTTAGGGATTTGGGTTTAAGGAACTCAGTGCATATCTACTTGCTCTGCTCTTGTAGAAGCCTGAAAACTTACGAATCTTGTTTTCAAGCATCATATACAGTACCTCAACAGTCTGTTCTAATCATATGGGACTTGGCCTGAATCACGTTCCCAATATATATATATATATGTATAGCAGACCCACATCATCATGACTTTGGGAAAATCCCCATTGAGACCTCTACGGTGTTCTATTGAGGCTGGCCACACGCTGCTTCCGGAGCGGTGCAGTGCGCTGGGACCGGCGGGCTGAGGAGGAGGCGGTGGCCAGTGCGGCAGCACCTGGGGTTAAGGGCAGCCTTATAGGGATAGTATAGTAATATAGAGGGAGTATAGGGATTATATAGGAATAATGGAAAAGAAAATGGAAACTACTATTTAGGGTTAAGGGTTTAATTTAGATCTGTGATTAATAAAACTCCAACCCTTTAGGGTGTAGGCCTGCACCTGGGGACGTTCTTTTGCTTACTTGCGGTCAATACTTGGAGAGTCAGGGGGACTTAGCAAGTAGGTTGGTAACCCCTGTAACCCACATAGTAACCCTGCGTGCGTGTGGATTTTTGCTTAGGATATAAAAGCTCTATTTGAAGCGATAGGGAGACTTCGTACGTAGGTGAATAACGAGGATAGCTGGGGTTACTATGTGGCTTAATCCCTCCCCCTAATATTAAACCCCCCACGCCCCCCAATATTAACAACCCCATTGTGGTATATCATATTGTGCTGGTAATGGCTTATCAGGGGAGAGGATTATACGTATGTTTTCGAAGTCCCCTCCCCCCAAGTAAGTAAAGTGTCCGTCAGCCACGATCTGGGTAGTTCTAAAACATCAAAACCATGGGCCCACCAATCCTAAGATCCCTATATACCAGGACTCTCCTTGTGCCCTCTGAATAGGGGTATATGGTCCCTATTTAGGGTACATGGAGGGTCGAGGTACTTAGAAGAGATATTATATGCAGCCTGACGGCTTACGGGCTGCACAAATACAATTGAGGTATCCTGCCAACCTACAACCTAAACCGCAAGCCCTCGCCCGATAATGCTTCAACACCCACTCCCTGATGCCAGATTTTGGTGTGTTTGTGGGTGGTACCTGCACCCTAAACCTTAAATCCTAAGCCTTAAACCCCCAACCCTAAACCAAAAATCTAAACCTTACACCCTAAACCACTTAGAAGGCCCCTGCCCTTTGCGGAGCTGTCATGGGCATCTAGAGACTCCTCAGTGCATCTTCTGCCCGCGCCTAACATGACCTATAGTGTAAACTCCTAGTATTCCCCTTACAAGCCCCTAGCATAGGGTTCAGGGTTCAGGGTCTAAACTCCTAGTATCCCGGTATCCCCCTTCATAACCCGTAGAACAGTCCCATATGTAATCTGCTTACCGCCTTTGAGGAGTGTAGACTATAGCATGACATGAATTGCGCATCGACATAGAATAAAGTAGGCTGCTTAAATCCCAGAAAATCGCGGTGGGTGCAAACGGAGCTCCATGTCGCTTTGTCATTGCGATGTATGCTTTTGCGCCTAGATCGTAGGCCTGTTATGCTGCAGGACAGAACTAAATCCTACAGCCTAGAGACTTGTTGGTTGGTAGGAGGGCACAAGGGGCTTGGGGTTTAGGGTTCAGGGTTACGGAACAACATCAGATGGAATTACGTAGGGGCTACTGTAGGGATTCACATCTGCATCCCTATTCCCTAGACTAGACACAAATCCCCAGAATGCTTAAGCCAGCCTAAAGCCCAAAACCCTGATCAAAGGAACCATTCTAAGTCGCAAGGTGCGCTAAAGGAAGGTGGGATGTAGGAAAAAAGCCCCAACATCATGGAGCGTTTGAAGATCTAGGGTTTCGGGGAGGATCCATGAACACACCTACCTTCATCTCACCTTCTGAGCCCCCTGAACCACGTTCCTGTTTCACACTCGAGTCGGGGCATGCATTCAGTACAGCATTCGAGGCTCATTGAGGAAAGTTTGGCAAGCCGCACCTCAAGCCCATGAGCACGACAAGCTGCTGGAGAAGACTAAGGGTTCTATTGGGGTTATATGGGGATAATGGAGGAGAAAAATGGAAGCTACTATTAAGGGTTTTTGGATGAGGATATATAGTCCCCCCTTTAAGTAGATAGAATATGGGGTAAATGGGGATCTTATTATAATATGCCCAAAGCCATATTCTATCTACTTAAGGGGGACTATATATAGGGAGTCTATAAATGTTTGTAGGGGCTTTATAGAGGGGCATAATGGTCCATCAATCAAATGAGAAAGCTGATCTTGAAATGGAAGCTGGATGTACGTAGGGCTCATATGAGGGAATATATATGCCTAAGTTATTCCCGACATTATTTCGAGGTCTACTTGAAGTACCCGCTGCCATCATTTAGGCTTTAGGGTTTTAGGGTTTAGGGACTCTAGCAACGCAATGTTTGCAACTTCTTCTTAGGCCTTGAACAGCACCCCTGACTCGCAGATGACTCGCTTCTGCTCGCTCACCTTGTGATCCTCCTGCTGAACCTTAAACCCTACAACCCAGACCACAAACCCAAAATCCTGATTTCTAGACCCTAAACACTAAACCCTAAACACGAAACCTGTACCCTGGCGCTCGATTTGAGCGCACAGGAGTTGTGGGCTTGCTTGGCAAAGCGGCGCTTGGGTGAAAGCTGCGGAGCTGCTTTCTCTCTGCTACGTGGCACTTTAGGACTCCGGGTTTAGGGGTTACCCTCAGGTACCTATTACAGGAGTATAAGGGAATCCCAAAGATTTCAGGGTCTAAGGTCCAAGCTAAGTTCCAAGGAGTTTGCGGACAGTGGACTTTGGGTTTAGGGTTGTAAGGGTTTGGGGACTTCCACTTGGAGAACGAGAGTCCCAACCTGATCCAAGGAGCTTCTGGCCGCTCACCTCCAAGTAGCCTCCATATCCCCAAACCCTACAACGTAAGAAACTAAACCCTCAGCCCTGTAACCTATACCTTTAAAAAGTAATCCTAATGTATTTAGGCCCTTAAAAGGATGGGGTTTATTGATCATGTGTCTACATGAAACCCTTGAACTGGAACCCTTGAACCTTTGAATCTGAAACCCTTCAACAGCTCCGCTTTTCCAGAAGCTCTGGCTCCCAGGTTGTCTGTCCAGGAAGGGCCATATGGGAGTTTCTCACAACCAGGGTTTGGGTTTAGGGTGTGTGGTTAGGGTGTAGGGTTTAGGGTTTAAGGTTTCGCAAATTTAGGCGTGATTTTTTTTTGGGGGGTGTCCCTAACATGAGGATAAAGCCTTTTTGCATCGGGTGGTGGGAAAACGTCAGGATGAACGCTAAATTGTATGCAATCACTTTACAGGGCCCTTCATTACGCGGTTGCTCTTTGGGGCCCCAATAAAATCAAAATCTACACTTCAGCCTACCTAGTATGGAAAGCAGCCATCCCAAAAGTGATAAAATGGCACGCTGTACAAAAGTCCCGCCGAGATAAGGCTATCTTCCCCCTTAAGTAAATAGAATATGGTTTTGGGCATATTATAATAAGATCCCCGTATACCCCATATTCTATCTACTTAAGGGGGACTAACCCTAAACCCTACACCCTAAAACCTGAACCCTAATCCCTACACCCTCAACCCTAAACTCTAAACCCTGTACTTGCCATTACTCCCACATCAGCGCAGCAGAGATCTCAGATGCTCTGGACACCCAAGGACTTGTAGATGAGGAATGTCTCCTGCTTACTCAGGTTCAGGGTTTAGGATTTTCGGGTTAGAGCTCACGGGCTAAGATGTTGGGTCACATTAGGCTTAGGTCCTTTGGACGAATATACCCTACACCCCGAACCCTAATCCCTAAACCCTAAACCAACTCTAATCCCTAAACCCTAAACCCTAAGCCCTAAGGGTTGAGGATTTGAGAAGTCGTCTTTTCTGTACTGGTAGCACTGCCAAGGGCTTCAGAGTTGCACCGCTAGGGTTGTACTCCCGTGTTTAAGCCGATCGTCTCAAGGAGCTCCAACGAACTATATGAACTATATTGTAGTTTCCCTAAATTACTGTTCCCAAAATGGGGGAAATTTATATAGGGCCCCGTATTATAATGGGAACCTAAATATAGGACCCCGTATTATAAGGAATTTAGACCAATACCCATATGAGCTATAGTCTCAACTCCTAGCATCCTCCTTAATAACCCCAAAATTAGTCCCCTATATACCCCCCCTTTAAGGAGTTTTGACTATAGCCCATATGGGTCCATGTAAGGGCTGTATCGGGCCGCGGGCCATGTTGGGGGAACCCTGCAGGCATACGACCGCAGGGGTACAACGGTACAACCAGGGAACCCTTGATACCAGGCAGGTGCATCCGAAACGCTAGTGTTGTCTGTAACAGAAAAACAAAACGGACATAGGAAATTACCTGGTTCTTCCGTGGCCTTTTCCCCACCAACATAGTGGGTT